TAATTTTAATCTTGTTAAATTGAAATGCATTTATGAAAGAATCGAAACTCATACTTTTAAGTTGATTTTGTAAAAATAAAGATATGCAATCGTCTCACGCTCCGAAATGTATTTTTTTTAACCTAAGCGTCGTTGAATGTTATATGAAAAATATTAACTACATAAATAAATTAAAATAATGAAACAATGTATTTTTTCATAATTTTCATAAAACTAAGCACACCTTTGCCTAACGTTTCGAATGTATTCTATGCGTTATGTGATACACTGTTTATAATAAACGATTCATTTGTGAATAAACGTTGTTTTACTTGTCTACCCTCGCCTTAAGAGGAGCTAGAGCTCATTCCTAGATGTAGGCCTGTTTCAATTAAAATGTACTTAATGCTACTCAGTGTTAAAGTCAGTTACAGGTTTTCTGGATTACACGTGCCTATAATTTATTCGTAATAAACATATTATCTCTCGCTTTGACAAACCGAACAGATACGTGCGTATCAGACAATATTAAATAAAAGAAACTCGACTTAAGACTCATAAAATCTGCCAACTTTCCATAACTGGCCACCCAGAGGCGTGAGCGGCAGCGTTCCGGGCGCGGGAATTTTTGAAATGTTCGACCTTAGGAACCCGGACACATTGAACAACCACAACTAGCGGCGGCGGCGCGGGCGGACGCTGTCCGGGGCACTGTAGTCCGGGGCCGAACGCTACAACAAGCTGGCGGATCGGAAACGCGGGGTGAGTGCGGGCGTGGGCGTTGTATTCCATTGAGTTTTATAAAAAATAAAAAATATATTTCTAGTGTAGCTTGTATAGATAATTCAGGTTTTTTTTTTCAAATGCGGTAGCACTCTCTGGACAACATCAACGCTCCCAATTGCTTCCGCCTCCCCTAGGACTCTTTAGCGCCCACTGGGCGGTAAAGACCTCTTTATGATGCTATGTCCTAAAGGATAAAAATTAAATAACTAATTAAATAATAAAATAGTTGTGCAGCATTTGTTTATTTGTTGTTCGCTTGATTTAACACTGCGAAGTAGGAGTATGATGAACGGAGGATCTGAAATATAAGACAACAAAAACTTTATCGCTGTACGATTAGCATTTAATAGCGTTGACTGTTCTTATGTGTTATAAATAAAAAGTACATTATTGCCGAGGCCGGGAAGTAAGCGATTGTTTAATGAACCGAACGCGAGCGAAGCCTTGTATTGTCCGCCAATCCCTTATTTCTAATTGTGTATTTTACTTCAGATTATTTAAATATACACACTTTGGACTTTGGACCGTTCTTATCGTAAGCGGCATAGAGTTGGATTTAAATCTTAAGTGTCAAGCTTGACGTGCTCTTGACCCTGTACACAGTCGGTGCCCTAAGATTAAGCCTGCTAACAGATTGACTACATGTCTGCAGTTAATGCGTGAAGTCGTAATCAACTTCACGCATTAACTACATGCAGTCGAAATTGAACTGCATACAATTGAGACATCAACCTCAAGTGTCGACGTGAACAATAGTCCAAGAATCAAACGTAGTAATTGACATTCTTACGAGGACAGGTATTATTATATTTAGGTTTATTTTTTGCGTCTGAAACAACTTTTTTTTACCTAACGGAAAAAGGTACGCTTTCGTTTTTGGCTTTTCGATTATGGCTGCGTAACAATAATAACAGAAGTAGCGCGTGCTTCCATCTCGACGTCAACTTTTACAGAGAGCTCCTGACTCCTGAGCAGTGTTGCCAGACTTTTGTGAAGTTAATTCGCCAAATTATGTATGTTAAGTAGGTGATATTCGCCCAAGCCATAAAATCCTTAAAAATAATAAAAAAAACAATTCTACAATTCTGTTTGCTGAAATAAATTATTTTACAACTCTATTCCCCACAAAATCCTCAATAACATTTTTGTATTTTCCCAAACATTTTAAGTAGCCTAAAATCGCCTTCTCCTATTTCAAACATAGCCTAAATATCGCCGAGTGGCCGACCACTTTTTTAATCCACTCTTCAAAGTAGCCTAAATGGCGAAAAACCGCCTGATCTGGCAACAATGCTCCTGAGCTAGACGCGCGGTGAAACACACAGAGGGCGGGTGCTGGACGGGCGCACGCGCCCGCGCTCCGTATGTTGTCGTTCATATAAATGGAATTAGACCCGCCGCGGTCCCGGCCCGACCCTGTGTGTTTCACGCTTTAATGTCGAGTCGAGTCGAGATCACCTGCATGCAGTCGGTTTCAACGTTATACGGACTTCGCGCATGCAGTTCGTTTAGCAGCAGCCTAAGATACCTGACCCCCTAAGGCTCAACTCACACTGGCGCAGAGTCGAAGCGTCGCGTCGCATCCTGTTTTTCAACTACAACGTATGACGACGCGCGTCATCGCTTGACGACACTCACATTAGCGCGCCCGGATCACAGTGTGGTCGGCGTCTGACGCGTCACTGCATGCAAGTAACGCATGGTGACGAGCGATTCCATATTTGCATGACACAAATTTGTACCTTAATAATGGAAAAATAGAGATGAATATGCTACAGGCGAAAAACATGCCGCGTCGCGACGCTTCGTCGCGACTCTGCGCCAGTGTGATCGGTTCGTAGTATAATCAGTGCGGTGAAAGGTGTTAATCAAACTTAACCTGTGAGCTGTAAAATTCATTTTGGTATGAGTTAGGTACTTATTGCATCATTAGCGAATGACGTTTTAAGAAACTTTTTAAACCATTTGTCTTTAATTACATTACATAAATACAAATTTCAACCGAAAAGCTGGAATTCCTTCACACTTTACTGTTGAATACGTAAGAAGACTCTGACAACCAAAACGTTGGCTTGGGGGTCAGGTATCTTAGCGCATCAAATGTACACAAACAACACAATACATACAAACAACGCACACAAATGCACTATTATATATTATTATTATATATACATT